TCTCCCTTACGGGACTCAGGGCGGTGAACAGGCAATAATAAAAATCACAATAAATATTGAATAAAAAGCCTGCTCTAAAATACCCCATATAAAACCCCTAGCAAAGCCCAATCAAAACTACGCCAGGCCGGCCGCATGGAATAGATGGGTTTTCAAGGCTCGGCGGAAGAGGCGCAGGTCCGTAGTTGTACGTAGGTCGAGGGGTAGGTCATTCCAGAGGGCAGGAGCTTCTAACTTCTAACTCCAAAAGCCTTCTATTTCTCTCAGCAGCACCTACTCTTTCATCCAAACCAAGCAGTGAGCTGCAAAATACAATTTCAGATTAGGTAAAATCAATCCCCCTCTTTCATTTTCATCTGTAAAATATTTATCTTGGGGATTTTTTGCCTTGCTGGACAAATTTAATAGAATAACAGAATTGGAAGGAACCTTGGAGGTCCACTAGTCCAAGGCTTTTCAACCAGTGGTACGGGTACCACCTGTGGTACATTGGCACCTGGCAGGTGGTACGCGACCATCCTAGAAAAGTGGTAGCGGGGGAGGGGAATGAGCTGAACTGGTGGCAGCACCGCACAAGCCTGAGCGAGAGATGGCTGGAGCTGCAGGGATTTCAGGGCTCAGCGGAAGCGCCAGGACCAGCACTTCTTCGGGGCTGTCAGGGCTCAGTAGAAGCACCAGGATCAGCGCCAGGCTCCAGCTGGAGCTCGGTGCTGATCCTGGCGCTTCTGCTGAGCCCAGAAGAAGTACTGATCAGCTGGAATGTTGCAGCATCTCCAGGGTCTTGTGATTTACTTTTAGATGCTTGGCAACTGATTCATATTTATGATGGTCACAGTGTCCCAGGGTCATGTGAAGTGACCAAAACCTGCTGCAACCACCCAGCAGATGGGGGGAATAAAAACCAAGCCCCACCCCACCCCACCCCCACTGCCAATCCTCAACAGAAATGCTCACAACAATGAAAACCTCGGACAGGAGGAAGAGCGCCGCCGGGTGTGCAGGCAGGTGTCTTGCTCAGCTGTGGCTTGGGGGGCACTTTTTTCAGTGCCATTGTAACTTTGAACAGTCACTAAGTGAACTGTTGTAAGTCGAGGACTACCTGTACTTCATCACTTTTTTCCTTTTTTTGGTCATCAAGTTTTTGACACCTTGCTGGGCGACTGGTGGTACTTGATATTGCCATATCCTAAAAGTGGTACAATGGGTGAAAAGGTTGAAAAGCCCTGCACTAGTCTAATCCCCTACTCATCCTATACCATGTCAGACAAACGGTTGTGCAATCTCTTCTTAAAAACCTCCAATGTTGGAGCACCCACAACTTCTTGAGGCAAGCCATTCCACTGGTTAATTGTTCTGTCAGGAAATT